CTGTCCACTCTCATCATTCCTCTTCAATATAGTGCTTGAAGTTCTAGCAATAGCAATAAGACAACATAAGGGGATCAAGGGGACTCGAATTGGAAAAGATGAAGTTAAACTTTTGTTATTTGCTGACGATATGATAGTGTACATCAGCGACCCCAAAAACTCTACCAAAGAACTCCTACAGTTGATAAACACCTTTAGTAATGTGGCAGGATACAAGATCAACTCCAAAAAATCGGTAGCCCTCCTATACACAAAGGATAAAGAAGCAGAGAGGGAAATCAGAGAAACATCACCTTTCATGATAGCCACAAATAGCATAAAATTAACTCTAACCAAGGAAGTGAAAGACCTATTTGACAAGAACTTTAAGTCTTTGAAGAAAGACATTGAGGAGGATACCAGAAAATGGAAAGACCTTCCCTGCTCTTGGATAGGGAGAATCAACATAGTAAAAATGGCAATTCTACCAAAAGCAATCTATAGATTCAATGCAATTCCCATCAAAATCCCATCAAACTTCTTTACAGACCTTGAGAGAACAATAATCAAGTTTATATGGCAAAACAAAAAACCCAGGATAGCCAAAACAATCTTGTACAATAAAGGAACCTCTGGAGGCATTACCATCCCTGACTTCAAACTGTATTACAGAGCTACAGTATTGAAAACAGCTTGGTATTGGCATAAGAACAGAGAAGTCGACCTATGGAATCGAATAGAAGACCCGGGTATTAACCCACAAATTTATGAACACCTGATTTTTGACAAGGGAGCTAAAGCTATACAATGGAAGAAAGATAGCATCTTTAACAAATGGTGCTGGCATAACTGGATGTCAACCTGTAGAAGAATGAAAATGGATCCATATCTATCACCATGCACAAAACTCAGGTCCAAATGGATAAAAGACATCAACATTAATCCGACCACTTTGAACCTGATAGAAGAGAAAGTGGGAAGTAGTCTACAAGATATAGGCACAGGAGACCAGTTCCCAAGCAGAACCCCAGGAGCTCAGACAATAAGAGAAGCAATGAATAAATGGGACCTCCTGAAACTGAGAAGCTTTTGTAAAGCAAAGGACACTGTCAGTAAGACCAAAAGGCTGCCTTCCGACTGGGAGAAGATCTTCACAAATCCCTCATCAGACAAAGGTCTGATCTCCAAAATATACAAAGAACTCAAGAAACTAGACACTAAAACTCTAATTAACCCAATTAAAAAATGGGGTGCTGAACTGAACAGAGAATTCACAACAGATGAACTCCGAATGGCCAAAAGGCACTTAAGGTCATGCTCAACCTCCTTAGTGACCAGGGAAATGCAAATCAAAACAACTTTGAGATATCATCTTACACCTGTCAGAATAGCCAAACTTAAAAACACCAATGATAGCCTATGCTGGAGAGGATGTGGAATGAGGGGAACACTCATCCATTGTTGGTGGGAATGCAAACTTGTGCAGCCACTGTGGAAATCAGTGTGGCGGTTTCTCAGGAAACTGGGAGTCAACCTCCCTCAGGACCCAGGAATTCCACTCTTGGGAATATACCCTAGAGATTCCCTAACATACTACAAAAGCATTTATTCTACTATGTTCATAGCAGCACTATTTGTAATAGCCAGAACCTGGAAACAGCCTAGGTGCCCCTCAATAGAAGAATGGTTAAAAAAGGTGTGGAACATATACACATTAGAGTTTTACTCAGCGGTAAAAAATAATGACATCTTGAATTTTGCATGCAAATGGATGGACATAGAAAACGCTTTACTGAGTGAGGTAAGCCAGACCCAAAAAGAGGAACACGGTATGTATTCACTCATAAGTGGATTCTAACCATAATTAAAGGTCTTTGAGCCTATTATTCGTGATCCTAGAGAAGCTAAATAAGAAGATGAACCTGATGAAGATTATTTAGCTATCCGCCAGGAGGTAGGAAATAGACAAGAGTCCCAGGTAACCTCAGGTGCATGGGGGGGTGGGAGGGTTGTCGGAAAGGGAGAGGGTTAGAGAGAAGGGAGTAGGGGAGGATTGGGGAAAGATCGGGGGACTGGGATGTGGGGAGGGAGGAAGGATGGATATGGGATCAGGCAAGTATATACCTCAACTAAGGGAATCATTTTAGGGTTTACAAGAGACTTGATTATAAAGGGGATCCCCGGTCCAAGGAGAGATCCCCAGATGGTTCTCTGGAGAGAGGAGAGGGTGCCTGAACCGGCCTTGGCCCACAACCATACTGATGAATATTTTGCATGTCACCATAGAACCCTCATCTGGCGATGGATGGAGATGGAGGCAGAGAACCACGTTGGAACACTGGACCTAGCTCCCTAGGTCCAAATAAGAGGCAGAAGGAAAGAGAACGTGAGCAAAGAAGGCAAGGGCAGAGGAAACCTCATCCGACGTTGGATGGCGATACAGATGGAGACCCATATTGGAACACCGAACTGAGCACTCCACGGTCCAAATGAGGAACAGAAAGATGAAGAAAATAAAAAAAGTAATCAGGACTGCGAGGGATGCAAGCACCCACTGATACAAGGGAACTGATATAATGAGAGTTCACCAAGGCCTGTTGGACTGGGACTGAACGAGGACGTGATCCAACCAGATTCTCTGAATGTGGCTGGCCCGGAGCCTTTTTGAAAAGCCATTGACAATGACACTGGGACTTGCTTCCTCTGCATATACTGGATTTTGGCGCTCCAGTCTGTTTGGACTCTCACCTTTCCTGGACCTGGAGGGAGGGGGGAGGAACTTGAACTTACCACTGGGCAGGAAACCCTGACTGCTCTAGGGGATGGAGAGGGAGGAGGAGAGGGAGTGGGGGGAGTGGGAGGGTGTTGGGAGGAGGGGCTGAAATGGAAACTTTTATAATTTAATAAAAAAAAAAGAAATTACAACAAACTTCTTTTGGCCTCTTATTACCTTTTATGACATTTTATATACCTTTTGTAATTTTTAGGTTTGACTCCTTTCTCAATCTTTATTTCATTGATTAAGCCAGACACTTTGAGACAAACCCCTTTTATTATTTTTATTTATTATTATCATTATTTTAGCCTTTTTGCCCTTGTTGGTTTTTAGATAATATGGAAGCCTAATGCATCTTTAACATTTGTTTTAAAATTAATGTTTTTTAAAGTTACAGGTTGGTATAATTTAAAACTTTTTATAAGCAGTATTAGGACAGGAAAGAGTTAAGAGAAGAAACTGCTGGCCAGCGGAAGAAACCTTGAGTGTTATCACAGTGAAAAAACTTAGCTCAGAAAAAAAAAGAGGCACAGAAAGTGTCCTTAGCTGCTAATGCCTTTTTAAATTTTTTGTTAACTTTTCTCTGATTATAATTTTAGACTTTTTTGCTTTATATTTGCCTAGTTTTTATTTCTATTTTTATGTTTATTTTTTTTTATTTTTATCTAAGAGCGTTCCATCCTTATGGAACTTGGATTTACATTCATTTTTCCAGTGCTTTCCCTTTTTGCACTGGGGACAAAGTCCGGGAGTTTCTCTTTGCCCTGTTCCCCTGGGCCTCCTACAGTCTTTCTGCATGTGCCCTGGTTTCCTACAATTATAACAAGTGAGAGATGAAGAGTCTCTTACACCTCCTCCATATGTCTTTTTAACATAGGCGCTGAATTTCCGACCCTTCATTGTTCCAGCATAAGCCATTCCTTGGACTAATGCTGGTGAGGCATCTCTCATAGATTGCCCCATGGTTCCTCTGATTACTTACTTCTTGATCGATGATCCTTTACTGGCGAGACTGCAGATCTCTGGTAAGAGCCGTTCCTGAAAACTAATAAAAGGAAAAGAAAGAAAAGAGAAAGATTACCTGTCCTTCAAGTCCCTGTTCGGGTGCCACCTGCTACGGACCAGCTAAGGGGAGCCACTCAGACCGTGGGGGAATCAGGGCGAAGGAAGGAAGATTTCAGGATACGGCGGAGGAATTGACAGACAAACCACTCTCAATGTATTTGAGACATGCTGTTGTGTTTTAACTTACTTTAGTGCAGGATTATATATTTTTTTTTATAATCAAAGAACTTGGCAAAGGCATACATCATCAAATCATAGAACAGAAAAGAACAGCATAAAACAGTTTACAAAAAGAATCTTTGAAGATGCTTTGACTTGGGCACAAGGACTTCTGCTCTCTCACACATTGTAAAACAAACTCTCTCCTCTTGTCTTCAGAGAGACCACTGTCCTTGAGCTAGACCATCTTTATCAGCTTGCAGGTGGCTGGTTGATTTGAGCTAAGTGACCTTGTGTGCCTGGGTGAGAAAGAAAAAGGCTACTATCTCCCTGGGAAAGCTTTCTGCTAGGAAATTTCTAATACATAGCCTTGAATCTCTGTGAAGTTTACTTTATATTACTAACCTCAACTCTCCTCCCTTTTCAATTCTCAGGCTCAGATATTGTCAGCTTAGTCTAGGTCTTTTTCTTCCCATAAGAAAGGTTTCATAGGCCTTCTATTAACAACTGTACATATTTCTCAGGCAAATGCCTAAAGCTTTTAAGTTTTTTCCTAGTAAAATTAACTCCTTTTGTTCCACATCATCAAGGAATTGTCCTAATGATGATTTTGGCAATTCCCAGAACTGGCTACTTTTTTAAGGCTTTAATTAATAGTGGAGTTGTAAGTGGTCAAACACCTATGGGGATGCCACTGACTGCCAGAAGGGAAGAAGCTCCTAGTACTGTTTTCTCAAATGGGTGACATGCCTGACAAACTGCCTTCTGAATATTTGTGCTTATTCCCATAGACTGCGACTGCTCACCAGGACATCAGACATGTCTTTCTCACGATGGGCAGCGGTTCTACAGGGATCCCTGTCTGGTTAAACTGTGGAAAATAAGCATCTAGTGCTGTGATCTTGAGTG